TGAATCTCCATCTGTCGGAACTCATCTGTCCATTGGAGTTTCAAATGTAGGATCGACTGGTTGATTTTCTTCCACGATTAACTCAATTTTTCTGTGATTTTCCATTTTTTCTAAACACTTAAGAAAAGACACGAAACAACCTAGGAAGACTCACAAACCTCGGCTTTGATACCAAATTGATGCATTCAAAAATTAGGAGAAAGCCTAATTTTTGCAAACAAAAAAACAAAGACTTCCGAGATAAGTAGAAAATTATATAAAATACTCAAAAAAGACAAAATACAACAATTAAACCAAAAACAACTTCACTTTTATAATAGAAAAACACTTATAACTTTTGACACAAACAGAAACATAAACATACACCTAAACTTTCATTCTTTGATTGATTGAGAAGAAAGATACAATTGGAGTGGTCACTTGCAGAAAGAAGGAGATAAGAAGTCGAGACGAAAGGGAGGAGAAGCTCGTAAGCTTTCCTAAACGAAGAGGAAGCACGGAACAAGCTCGCAAGCTTTTCCAAATAAGGAAGAAAAAACCCTCAGGTTTTTAGTCTCCAAAAATACCACATATTATAACATCCTTTTTATTCATATAAAACACCTTTTATTTATAGGGGAAAGAGGGCAGCCAAACAGCCACCATAACCCGCATTTAAACAAATTAAAAGCATGAAATAGAAGGCCAAACATTCAGTCCAGCACAACATCCAAATAGTCACATAGAAACCCAAAAAGGCAGCCGAGGAGGAACCAAAACAATAGCCAAAGGGAGCTAGAACAACACCCGAAAGACCACAGAAAACCGGGTAAAAGCAGCCCATGGGATAGCAACTAGGGAGGAAACCGAAGGGGCTGCACAGGAACCGAACCAACAGCCAGGCAGGGAACCGAAGGGGCACAAAGGGGACTGGAACCAGTAGCCAACAAGGGAGAAAGAGCAGCCACAAGAAACAGCATAAAAGGAAACCGAGGAGACACAAAAAAGGGGAAAAGGAAAAGGCAGCCAAGAGGAGAAGAGCGAAGGAGGGGAAAACCAAAGAGCCAAAACAAGGGGGATTGAACCAAATAATGACACTTTATGAGCCGAATAAGTAGAAGAAGCTCATTAATGAATTTAGTAGAAACTTACAAAAATTAAAACCCAACTTGTTTTGACCCCCCCCCAGCCTACATAACTTGCCTTTAATAGTTAACTCGTTTAAGTGATTGGATTAACTAGCTAATGCAATATTAATATAATTGACCCAGTAATTAAATTTACGTATTCAATTAATCATAGAATAATTTTTAGTGGTTAACACTGAATAAAGTTGCATAACATTAAAGTAGCATGTATGCCTGAAAACTCTGGGAGTTATATAAGAGAGTTTTAAATATAAAATAACAATACCATAAAAATTAAACTGTATTAGAAAACCAGCATGTATGCATTAATGTTAAATAAACAAGAATCTAGAAATAACAAATCTTGTATATATGAGACTTTTTTTCTTAATTTTTTCCCAGCTGAAGGCAGTTATAGTATTTGAACATGGGTTTCCTTCCTCACAACCCGTCAAGCCAAGCCAACACTCTACGCAAAGCATAAAACAACCAATTTAATTATCCTCTGAAATGTGATTTTTTTCATTACAAATATTATTTATATTACACAAAGCCAAATGATGGTATATCAAAATCATAATGATGGGGATTAAAGAGATTGAGCATAAAAAAATTACTATTAATTTCAATGTTCTCAAATAAACCAATTATTAAGCATTCAGTTCATCGAAACTTTAATCGTCATGATTATATATAATTCCCAAACCTAAATTTCTCCATTTCATATTTTTTACATTTTTTTTAATTTAAACTTAATAAAAATATATATTATTGATATATCATCAAAAAATTATCTTGATCGGGCACGAATCTCGAGACAAAAATCAAGCCGGGAACTTCAAAAATTAAATCCGGGATCACCTGAACTCCGATTTCAGCAAACTTATAGTCAAACTGAGCGTCTCGGAAAAACAAACCCAGCGACACCAAATTTGACTCAATCCGAGCCCAAATGAGTCCAAATCAAGGGCCCGAAGCGCTATTGGAAAGTTTGTACCACAATTTGTGTTACCAAACAGTCTCCGAACTTGACAAGCTTATAGTCTAATCGAGCGGCTCGACGAGACGAATCCAACGAGCCCAAGATCGCCAAATTCTGAAGTCATTAAGACCTTAAAATATCTGATAAACGGTCCACAATCGATGGATTCAATATCAGTCGTTCATCCGATGCACTCCATATTTGCCCCTAATATCTCATCTATTTAAAGGTCATGCCACTCCAGAAAATTTATAAATAAATCTCTTACTTCTCTTGAGAGGGGATCCAAGCAAGAGGAGAAGAAGAGAAGAGAAGAAAGAAGCTCCTCCTCGACCACCGCCGAAGTTTCGCCGAACCACCACCGGACCTTCGCCGGACCACCACCTGAGGCCCTCACCTCCGTCGGACCACCGTCTGACGTTGTTGCTTTGCTGGAACACCACTTGAGGCCCTCACCTCCGTCGGACCACCACATGACGCCGTTGCTCCGTCGGACCACCACTTGAGGCCCTCACCTCCGCCAGACCACCGTCTGACGCTGTTGCTCTGCCAGACCACCACTTGAGGCCCTCGCCTTCGCCGGACCACTGCCTGACGTCATTGCTCCGCCGGACCACCACTTGAGGCCCTCACCTCCACCGGACCACCACTTGAGGCCCTCTCCTCCGTCGAACCACCACCTGACGTCGTTGCTCCGCCGGACCACCACTTGAGGCCCTGAGCTCCGCCGGACCACCGCCTGACGTCGTTGCTCCGCCAGACCACCACTTGAGGCCCTCACCTCTATCGGACCACCTCCTGACGTCGTTGCTCCGCCGGACCACCACTTGAGGCCCTCACCTTCGCCGGACCACTGCCTGACGCCGTTGCTCTGCCGAACCACCACTTGAGGCCCTCACCTCCGCCGGACAACTGTCTGACGCTGTTGCTCCGCCGTACCGCCACTTGAGGCCCTCTCCTCCACCGGACCACCACTTGAGGCCCTCTCCTCCGTCGAACCATCGCCTGACGCCGGAGTTCCGTCGGACCACCACTTAAGGGCATGAGCTCCACCAAACCACCGCCTGACGCCGGAGTTCTATCGGACCACCACTTAAGTGCCTGAGCTCCGCCGGACCACTGTCTAACGTCATTGCTCTGCCAGACCACCACTTGAGACCCAAACTTCTGCCGGACCACCACCCGAGACCCGAACTTCCGCCAAACCACCACCTGACGCCCAGACTTCTACTGTACCACCATCTGAGGCCTGGACTTCTACTGGACCACCACCTGAGGCCCAGACTTTTGCCGGACCACCACCTAAGGCCCAGACTTCTACTAGGCCACCACCGGATGCCCAGAATTCTGCTAGAGTACCACCCTACTACAACGGTCTTTCAGACCTTGGTCTCCTGCCAACTACGATCTTTCGGACCCCTATCTCCCACCGACTATGATCCTTCCGACTTGCTTCACCTACTACGGTCTTTCCGACCTCCATCACCAGACAACATTCTTTTCAGCCTCCATCCTATCGACTATGGTCATGCCGACCAAACAAACATGTTTATATTGTAACTCACACCATGTAATGCGCTCTATATGCTGTACATTTGTGACATCAAGCCAAGGCCTTCTCCCTAAGAAGGGCCTCATTTGTAATCAACTGCAAATACTAGTGGATTCATTTAAACTGGGTCAGGCCCCGTGGTTTTTTCTCCTTTTTAGGGGTTTACACGTAAAAACTTTGGTGTCTCTTATGAACGCTACACCCTCTCACTTATCTGATTGTGTGCTGGATCTTCATACAATGCTAAGACGTTAAACTATATATTTCTCTACCGCCGCGAATACTCCAGGACGCAACAATTATATTTTGAATTTACTTTTTTTATTTTTTAAAGTAAACCAAAATTAAAAAAGATATGAAAACCACAAATAGGTTTTAAAAACCATGGTTCCTATATTTAATATAAGTATAACTAGGAGCGTTGAGGAAAATATCATCGTGAAAAGGAGTTGATGTAAACATCATCGAGAGAGGTGAAAAACAAATGTAGCATTATCTCCTCAATTTTCCATTAGACATGAATATGTGGCGATGTGGACTAGTCAAGGAAACGAAAGAAATCAAAACAATGGCAATGCATGGCCGATCATGCCTTTCTTATGCCCCGACAATTTGACTGAAATGAGTGTGATAAATGAGGTGGCGGAGCTGGGTTTTTTTTTTTTAATGCGGATCTGGTTTTTGTGGTAATAGTAAGAGAAGAATAACAACCAGCACCAGTATTCTTTTCAGCTTTTCCTAAATTTCAAAAGCCTCTCTTCCTTCTTCTGTTGCTCAATTCTTATGCTATTTGTCACCATAACCACAAAAACTTCATATTCTTGGCCATCATCTCCAACACTGTCCTTCTCTTCCCGGCGGACAAAAAGATAATTCCATTAGAAGCATGCCCCAGTACCTTCTAAATGGTTATAACTAATGCAAAATGTTCAAAAGAACTAACCTTTTAACTTGACAGCCAAAACAACAACCAATATTGTGTTTTTATGAAAATGGTGGATAAATTTTCACTAAAACCTAGTGTCAGTTTTCGAGAAGGAAAAGTCTTTTGCCTTCTGAAAATCCCTTTTAAGTAAAAATAATTTTTCATTAAAGTTACTACAAACATTTTCTCTCCTCTTTTAGCAACATGTATAACGGGCAGATTTCCTGCATTAAAGGGATAGACACTAGCCAAACTCGAGCAGAATTAATAAGAATTGAAGGACTCTATATATGTCAGGAATTTGTTGAGGACTAGCAATGAAACAAGGAACTTTATTTTTTTTTTTAGCAAATACCATTACCACTGCTATTTTTGTTTAGAAATTACAATGCATATAAAGCTAGACATTCTTTAGCTAATCGCAAGAGTTGATACCTGCAAAATAGGAACCTCTTCGATAGGAAGTTCAGCTCCAAGATCTCCCCTTGCAACCATAGCCTGCAAAAAGTGAATTTTGAAACATGACAGGGTGAATAATAACTTGCCATCCATGTGAAAACTGAAAGTAACTTTGACAAAACAAAAGATCAGTTGAATAAGGCATACCCCATCAGATGCAGAGAGTATAGAATAAAGATTTGGGATTGAATCAGCACTTTCAATTTTTACAATTACATGAATATCAGCACCACTTTCTGTCAGAATAAGAAAACGCAAAAAAAAGGAAATAAAAATCCAAAGTTCTGTTGGAAACAGCACTATTCAACGGCACAAAAATTAAAAAATACAAAAAATCTCATGCATTGACTGGTGCCCTGGTTGAACTATTACTTTGCAGATAATCCTTCAACTCATGCACAACTTTTGCATCTTTGACAAAGGACACCGCATAGTAATCTATTTTGTTGTCAACTCCAAACTTGATGTCATCCCAGTCCTTATCTACAAAGAAAAATGCAAGTTATACGAGAGAGTAATAATAGGAAGAATATTATGCAACAAAAGAAGTGAAAAAGCATGTCAGCATATATCCACATGCTTATATCTGTCAAGGATACATATACGTATGTACCAACATCAGTGTTTTCATTTCACGTTGCATTCATTTAAAAACTTACCTGTGATAGATGGAAGAGTTGCACTTTTACCCCGAACATTAAGATGTCGCCTAGACTTTAGTTCACCTCCATCAACAACTTCACATTTGACAGAATCTTCAGTTTTAGATTTAACCAGCAATGACATCATTCCTCCTGAAGAAAACACATACTTCAGACAGGGTAATAGCTTAACATATAATAGTAAAAGCTAAAGTTGGACACAAATCCATAATAAATTCCAAGTGCAGAAGGACCCTTACATCTTCTTCCGCTCAAAATGTGGATCATTTACTTTTCTGAAGAGTTGATTGGTTGGTTTCTATGTCATCAAACCATGCCCAAATATAATCTACAAAGTTTTCAAAGCTAAACACCCTTATTTAAAAAAATCTAAAGTAAATCAACCAAATCTACCTAAATGTTCATGCCTAATCATCATTCCGTTAGGTTAACTATGATGATTTTTTTATTTGTTAATAATTTTATCTTAATCTTTGTATTTAATAATAAACTCAACCTCCACTGTATGATGGAGTGGTAAATGAAATCTTATCCGACCATTATGCCAAAGAAAGGTAGATCAAAATGAACTTAATATTTATTTTCATTATGTATTCCCGTATAGCATTTATTACAAGCATAATTGAGAAATATATGTTAAGTCGAGCGACCATTTATATGTAGTGAGACGAATCATCAGCTAAATCATCCTAAGTAAATCTCATATAATATTTCATTAGTAAGTCTTTAGTTGACCGACAGGCCATGAATATCCCCATTTCAACATTGCAAATGATGCTATTCGCATGGCAGATTTAGTTTCTACATATACAAACAATCTGTGTAAAATGATTAAATAACCAAAAAAAATTAAACAAAAAAGCCAAGTTATCTTGTTTGGAAAAATTTTAATAGCTTATGAAGCTAGCCTATGTTGCACCGATACGGATACGGCGACACGCATACGACACGATACGGATACGAGACACGTCAATTCTTAAAAATACAGGATACGGGTACGGTGCGGACACAACATTATAATTTATAAATCATACATAAAAATTAAGAAAGCAATCAAAGCATAGTATTTAAAATTACAAAAAAAAAAATGAAAGCAACATCATTTGTAGCCTTGTAGCTTATAATATCAAAATAAAAATAAGCATTAAATATCTAGTACAACAACAAAAGTATAAACAAAAATTGTCTAGCACACGAAGTTTCAACTATTTAATAAAAGGAATGATATGATTAGCTTCTTCAGTGGGTTGTCTTTGAACTTCTATATCATCTTCAATAAATATCATAACTTCTAATTCAGACTCATGAAGTGAAAGATTACCAATTTCTAATAATCTCATATCATCAAGAGATTCAAAAAGGAGAGAACCTAGCTCGCAACAGCGGAAGTAAATACGACAAGTCATTTTTTTTTAATGGACACACGTATCAGATATGCGTGTCCTTTTGAAATTAAATAGTAGTTTAATTGGATATGGCTTTGTCATATCCGACGCGTATCAGTGCCGTATTGGAGGCGTATCCATGTATCGGTGTATTGGATAAAGTGCGCCTTCATAAATAGATGTATCAATGCAACATAGAAGCTAGCTTAAGGAAGCAAAGGGGTCAATGAAAGCAATCTCATCAATATGAGAAATATAAATAAATAAATGTGTGTGTGTGTGCGCACGCACGTATATATGTATGTATATAACATGGTGGACAATATCAATGCAGTTTAAATTCAAAGATACATGCTCAAATCTCTCACATGTGAACTTATATTCCCATTTAGTTTAAGGAAATACATAAGAACTAAAGGTCGTTCTTTACCATCTACTAAAAGCATGTCACCAGCATCTACATCATTAACAAAGTCATCATAGTTGACACTAACGCAGCTTTCATTGCCAACTCCTCTTTTTATCGTAAAAGTGAACTCTTGGCCACTTTGCAGGTATATTGGTTGCGGCAAGTCACCACTTCTAACTTCTGGGCCCTGGGAAATCCAAAACAAAGTAAATGATGATAACTTATGAAGATAAGTTACAAAGAGGAGGAGAAAACAAATATATAACTGTCCATGCACAAAGTCAAGTTCATCCCAATTGAATGAGAATCCTATTTATCTAACACTATCCCTAAACTAGAATAAAAGTGTTTCATCAGCATGAAATATTTTAAGAATGACAAAGTTAAGGTGGGAAAATATGTTTTTACGTGCTTTTAAACACTCAACACTACGTCCTTTGTAGGGCGCATGCGGGAAAATAAGGAAAGCTGAATTGTTTTCTGTGTTTTTTTAGCATAAAAAAGTAAAACTAATTATATTGTATCATAAATAGGCAGGCTGCTCAGGCTTCAAAATAAGATTGCTTCCACCCAGCCCAATCGAGAAGAAAAAGACAAGTATTTTCATAAGCAAAAGGCCAATGGATTGGAAACAGGTGGCCTATTGTGCAGACTACATTACACTTCTGAAAAAATCCATTAGACTGTAGATATTCGATGGTAAAAGTGTTATAAAATAAAACATGTCGCAATCAGAAAAACACAGGCAGTTTATAAGAAGGAACAAGAAACTGCGAAATGCTGGGATGGCAATAAACCTTAAAATATATTTTCCTTGACACCTAATTTTCGTTTCCATAAAATAATAAAAAATTAGATTATGTTGGAAAGACTAACATCACATCGACCTTGATATTTTTGTTGGCTTAGAAAATCCAGATGAGTTCGTTGTATGAGTCAAGCCTTCTAGGGGTAACCTCAATTTAGGAACATTGAAAAAAGACAAATAAAAAGAAAATTTCACCTTTGTATCGAGCATAATGGCAATCACATTTTCACTGTTCTGTGCATTGTACTCCTTCACCAGATCAATTACTTTCTGGTGAGAAGCATGGTCTCCATGAGACATATTAAGGCGAGCAACATTCATACCAGTCTCAGCTAGCTTCCATATCATCTCCTTAGTATTTGTTGATGGGCCAATGGTGCAAACGATTTTTGTCTTCCGCCTGACATTTGGCTTCGACCACACTCCTGCTGATAATTCCCCAAGTTTCTGAATGTTTTCAAGTTGTTGAACCATCTCTGCCGCCTAAAACATTATTACCATATAGAAGAAACAAGGAAATTCAATAAAATCTAAGAATCAGTACAAGGACTAAACCAATTAGCCCAAAATTTTGCATCTATTGCATTTAATATAAAGGAATGAAACTTTAATCTGACAAATTATCGGCAAAAAAACACTCCAACTTCCATAGAATGGGTTAAAATAAATGTAAATCACTGAAATGAGGACCTTTTTCCTGCAAATCACATCTTTAAAGTAGACGAAATTTGGGTCAGGATAGTCTGACCAAAATTTGAACCAGATGGGTTTTATAACCATTGGATTTCTTTAAGCTGGGCGTAGTAGATAATTAATCAATCAAGCATTGCATTGTGCTAAGCCTAAAGCAAATACAATTATTCTAAAACTCATGCTGACCCAACTTTTTTCCTTTTGAGTTACCACTACAAACATCAAGTTAAACAAGCTAAAAATGTCTAAAATGTGTAAAATAAAAAAGGAGAAATAACTTGACTACAAAAAACACAAAATCAAATAGAAAATCACCTTCGGCGCATCTTCCGGTGAAACGGGAAGAACACTCGTCTCACTCGGAGATAACCTGTTGGCCACAGTAACAACCGGCGATGCGCGGACTCTCTTGCTCCGATTCTTCTCCTGATATAACTTCACAGCTAGCTTAGAAGGTCTGAGCTCATCAAGGGTGCCCTTCCGTCCGCCGAATGCAGAACGAGCGCTCAATACGGACGAGCTGCCTACGGATCGAATCGCCATTACCTGATCCATGCTCAATATGCCACAGAAGTAAGAGAGAGAATGATAGCCTAGGAATCGCCGACAGGAGCCCCGGCCGCTTCGCCTTCTATCTCTTGCCTAACTTCTCCTCACTGAGATCGCAGTAGAAGTCTTAAAAAAGAAGGCGCCATAACTTCGATTACATCGCCTCCAAGCCGACAGCTAACTCGCAACTCTGCATTGAGGAAGCAAGAAAGGTTTTACAATTATGATACGCCGTTTAGTGAATATCTACGAAAATGCCACCATCATCAGCCTGAAAATGTTGTTTTCCTGCACCGGCAAGATGCCACTTTTCCTCGCATCAGAGCGTTGCCATTCTCAAAATGGACGGCGGATGCTTCCCCCGCGTAGAAGTATTTATGCGGTCCTATTTGTACAAAAATTTGCCAATGCAGTTATGAATCACGTGTTCTGCTCATGTCTCTCGGATGCGTTGGCTTAAATTTATATGATCTTTGATTGGCGTAAATATAGTCTTAATTTCAGACCGCTTTATTATTATTTTTTAAAACAATTTTTTTAATATAAAAATTTAATTTTTTATTAAAAATTTATATTAAAAAACAGTAAAAAAATCATCTCAAATGAAGTCATAGAGTTAATACCCATTAGTTAAGAATTTAATTTTAATTATGGTTGTTGCGGGCGAGAATATATACGACAGTAGAGTAAGAGAATAAAGTGTCTTAGTAATGTACGTATATCTAGCACACTAACTGGTAGTTGAGAAAGAGAAACCACCAAAAGTTTTTTACATAAAAACCCAAGAAAGGGAAAAACCACGAGGTTTGACCCATATGAGAAAGTTCTACTATGTTTGAATGAATTACAAGGCTTGATTCGCTCATTTACTTGGAAATTATAATAAATTGGAGAATCACACTTCTGAAGTCTGGAGAAGAACGGCGAATGAGCAGAAATATAGCAGTGGTCAACAAATGAGCGAAAATTTGGTAGTGGTCAGGAAGAATTCCGGGGCAATCGATGAACGAGTGAAAGTCCAGCAATGGTCAACGAACAAACGAAGCTCCGGTAGTGTTCTAGAAGAACTCTGACAGTGGTTGACAAACTAGCAGAAGTCCAGCAGGGGTCCATGAATGTGTTTGAGAAGAACTCTGACGGTAGTCAACAAGCAAGCGGAGGTCTGGCTGTGGTCAAGAAGAACTTCGGCGAAGAAGACCTCCGGCAATGGTCGACAAATGAGCGGAGGTCCAGTGATGATCAAGAAGAACTTCGGCATGGTCAACGAACAAGAGGAGGTCCAACGATGGTCGGTGGAAAAAGAGCTCCCCAAATTTTCTCCTTATTTCCTTCCTTCCTTCTTTCTCCTCTCCTCTTTAAGTGAAAAAATGAGGGTTTATTTATAGTTTTTTTGGAGTGGCATGACTTGTAAATATGGGAGGATCAAGGTCAAGATGAGAGTTACTTGAATGGACGGTTGATATTAATCTCCTTGATCGTGGATTGTTCACTGACCATTTGAATGTCTTAATGATATCAAAATTCGATGATCTTAGGCTAGTTAGATTCGTCCCGTCAAGCTACTCGATTTGGCTATAAGCATGTCACATTTAAAATTCATTTTTTTAATCCAAATTATGCTTAAACCCTCTAAATATGCTTTGGACTCTTAGTTTTGGCTCATTTGGGCTCGGATTAGACTGATTTTGATGTGGTTGGGTTCGTCATTTTGAGACGTTCAGTTCAACCATAAGTTTTTGAAATTAAAATTTGGATAGTCCCAATTTTAATTTTGAAAGCTTTCAACTCAATTTTGCCTTGAGATTTGTGCCCGATTAAGATAATTTTTTGATGATATAACAATTACCTCCTATTTTTTACGTCAAAACTCTAGAAGTCCGTAAATATATATCACAACTTTCGGAAAAAAAAAATTATGCAATTTGAAACTTTTGAATATCTCGATATTAGGCATTGATGTCCTGAATTATTTCAAAAGTATCAAATTTTAGTCTAGAATGTCGAAAAATGATTCTAAGTACCCTAAAATGTCCAAATTGGCTCGTCCGTCAACCTCGTGTGCGCCTTCTGATTGAGGTGATTGTTATGCCACCTCACTTATTTTCAATTATTATTTTAAATTTTAATTATGTCCGATGCTACATTAAGGCAGCACTAGAATGCCACCTCTTAGTTTTTAGAAAGCATTAAATTGATAATTTAATTATTATTATTACTATTTTAAATTGATTATTTAATTTTATATTATTATTATTATTATTTCTTCTTTAAATATATAAAAATAATTAATTATGGGCTTTTAAATTTTTGAAAAAATTATTAAAACTTTCCAAAAGAAATTATAGAAAAATTGGTAATGCCTTTTTAGCTTCTCCTTCCCAATCCTATAAATACTCCCCCCTTGGGGGCTTAAGAAAATTAAAAAAATATAGTTGGTCCTAAATTTCTCTAAAAAATTGAGAAAACATACTGACAAAAACTTAAATTTTTTAGGTAACTATTGTTGGAAAAGGCTCAATCCTCTTCTATGGGCTCTGGGCTTCTTCTAAAGATCGTCCTAAAGGAGTCGCAAGACCGTCAATAGTTGGTAAAGGCCCAATTCTCTATCCCAGGCTCTTTATCTTCCTCTAAAGACTATCTTGTAAGAGTTGTAAGGCCATCAATAGTCGATAAAGGCCTAGTCCTCTATCGCAGGCTTTTATCTTCCTCTGAAGATTATCATGTTGGAGTCACAAGACCGTCAATCTTCATTAAAGGACCGGTCCTTCATCGTAGGCTCCTTTCTCTAAAGATTGTCATGTTTGAGTCATGAGACCGCCAATCTTTATTAAAGGCCTAGTCATTCGTTACGAGCTACTATCTTCTTCTAATGATTGTCTTCTAGGAGTCGCAAGACCATCAATCTTCGTTAAAGACCCGGTCCTCCATCGTAGACTCTTATTTTCCTCCATTTATTATCATGTAAGAGTCACAAGACTATCAATCTTCGTTAAATGCCCAGTCCACCATCTCAGACTCCTATCTTCCTATAAAGATTGTCTTGTAGGAGTCATAAGACCATCAATCTCCAATAAAACAAGTTCTTTAATACCTGGTTGGTAGCTGGTGGTGGCTTTTAGAAATATATATGGAGGATATTGGTCAAGCTAATAACCAACGGAGCAGGTTAGATTTATCTTTAGGGAGACGCGCATTTCCAACACTTCAGTTAATATGTGAGGTGATCATACTTTGAGTTTTTTCCTTTGGAGTACTTTTATATATTAACTTTTATATTCATCAAAAACTAATTTCATAATATATATATATTTCTCAGGAGGTGCACCAAGATTTATTCCTCCTACTAGAATGGTGAAATAAGATAAAGTGCCAAAGGTAGATATTTTTTCGTTCTTGTCTTTCTAAATTTCTACATGATTATATAATTATCATCCTCCCTTATAGAACGGTGATAGTAGAAGATCCCATGGAGCAATTGATGATGTCGCATCCAAGATCACTTCTGATGGCCTGACAAGGATCCATTAAGAAATTTTACATACCAAATAAAGTGCTTATATCACACCAAAAAGATTTGATACAATACATGTTCCCCCACCTAGATTTTTAGCTATGTAAAATATGAAGTTACACATAGGATTGAGATTTCTCCCAGCGCTTGAGTTGTTTAAGCTTTTTAAGTCATGTGGCATCTCCTTATCCTAGATGCAAAGCTATAACAATTATAGTTGGTTTAACATTTTTCATAAGAGAGCATGGGGCGATATTGACTGTTGAGTATTTATTAAAAAAATACTAATTTATAAATGATTCTCAAGGCTAGTTTCTTGTCGGAATAATAAGAAGTGGTTGAATTGTTTAACACATGATCCTTTTAAGAATTGGTTTAGCTCTTTCGTTCAGTGAAAAATGAGTGGGTCTTCTAGAGAAATGGGGGAAGCTAAAGGAGCAGCTAAATTATCCCAATCTAGGAGAGGAGGAGATACTAAAGATTTTAATTTTTTTTCTAATACAGAAAGTATTCAACATGAATTGCGTTATATTAGTCGGTGTGTGGCAGAAGAGTGTCTTTTTAAAGTTAGACTCTCTACTCAATCTAGAAGATCACATGCAATTCAATTAAAGAAATGCGAGAATATTCCATAAGTAAATTTCAATGTGCTTAAGCCTTCAACTAGCCATCCTTTAGAAGGTCAAAAATAACTGGCTCTCCCTCTCTAAAGAAGGGAAAAATAAAAGATAAAGTGATTATGCCGAGAGATGATGGTAGATGTAGGATGTTGTAAATCATCTGACTATTGATATAATTCTTCTTGATTCAGATAGTGAGACTCGACCCTTGAAGATACATATCCTAGACATGTAGAGTAATTGTTCCCTCACTCTTACTGGTTGATTATCAAATCCATACAATGGTCTAATGGTAGGCAGAAGTTTCTCTCTGGCCAATCCTATGCTAAGAAAAATTGAGTAGAGCAGGATATCTACAGAGCTCCCATTATTAATTAAGATTCTTTTGACATTATAACATAGATCTTCAATACCAACATTGATGATAAGTGGGTCTTAATGCAGAGTATGAATCCCTTATAAGTCAGAATTGCCAAAAATGATAGAGTGATCAGATCGTGCCTTCTTTAAAATTGGTTCTTTTGGGATGGTAAGTAAAACTTGAGAGGATATTAGGGGTCCTCCCACAATAGTTTCAATTTCTCCAACTATTTTGCAGTTTGCATATTGTTGTCTCTATTGCTATTAATTTTACCACCCAGTTGGATTAGCCTCTTTTTGAGCAGGTGGATTTTGAGTAAATTGATGAAGATATCCTTATTCAATCAACCTTTCAATTTCTTCCTTCAATTATCTGTAAGCTTTAGTCGTATGTTTGTGACTTCAATGAAAGTGTCAATATTAATCTTGATTTTAAGAAATTGGCTATAGTGGATTGGGCCATTTAATATTCTACTCATTTTATATAGCCATGATAATATTAACACGAGTTGTATTTAACGGAGTGTATTCCTTCTTTGGATTATAATCTCTATTTTGCTGAGGGGTCGAGGTGGAAGATCTTGATTCATCTTATGAGATTTTAGGGCTCTGGCCCCAGCTTTGTGTCTGTTCTTTCTTTATTAGAAGGCTGTTTAAATTATTTTTGATGAACATTGATAGTCTCATCAACAGTAATTTGAGCCTCCACTCTATGAATTA